CCTAAACGGCTGAACGGATTTCGATGAAATTTGGTATAGATGTAGAAGATAGTCTGGAAGAACACATAGGCTATTCACTTTTGTTTTTTTTAATACCACGCGGTCGGAGTCGCGAGCGAAAGCTAGTTTATTATAATTCCTATCATCGTTACCTCTGGTAAGTGAAATATATTTTTTCCTTGATAATAGGTACTTCATAAATATTTGTAAATTCTGCGTAGCGCCATGTCGCCTCATTGCAAATTGCGAAGTTTTTTTTTATTTAAAAACATTTTCAACGATTTCTATTTTTAACACATTAAGGTGTATTTGCCAAATGTTCTAGCCAAAATACTCCCGAGATAAAGTCGTAGTTAGATAGATGAAAATGTATAATACAAAGTAACTCGCAAATATTAACTGATAGCCGTTAGTGAATTTTTATCCAATCTTGTGTAAATGTGACATTTTGACCTTTTATATTTAAATAGTGATAATAACGTACCTAAATTTTATCAACCAATGTCTCGTTTTTATAATTAGATATATTTAAAATCTTCCGAAATCTCTGTATTTGAAGTACATGCTTAAAAACCATGTATGTTTACGTAACACATTTGAAAATAATGATAAAAAACTGGCTTGTATGAAACGTGTGAATAAAACATGTTTTAACGCACACTCGAGTTAAAACTTTAAATCGATGATTTGAATTCGTCGCTCGCACAAATGGCGCGAATCTTCGATCATGACTCCGCATACTATTCGCAACTTCAATAGATGTTGAAAACCCATAACGTCATAATTTACGAAACAAAATAGTTACTTCACAAAAAGGTCTTTTATTAGCTTGGGTCTTTTTTAAAATACGCAAAGCGAGAAAACGAACATGATTATTACTGAAAATCTGATATTGCCGGAAGACATAGGCCGAAAATCGTTGTTACGACTCTCGTATACCCTGAAAACCTTACTAATATTATAAATGCGAAAGTTTAGATGGATGGATGTTCGTTAGTGTTTGTAGCCTAAGCGGCTGTACAGATCTCGATGAAATAAGGCATAGATGTAGAAGATAGTCTGGAAGAAAATATAGGATATTTTGGTATTTTTTAATTCCAAGCGAACGGAGTTGCGGGCGAAAGCTACTTTAAATATAAAAGTACATATTGAAAGCAAAAAATCTTTCACATAAGAAAAAAACATCTACAATGACTTAACTGCGTGAGAATGGAACTAAATCTATGTATAGATTAGTGCGTATACGATGCAAACATCTAAGATACGTCAGCGAGAACGTCGAAACTTGGCAAAAAGCCAACATCCCTACGCTCCAGTTTAAATTCATTACTAGTAACTTGCATATTAACTGACCACATCGAGGAGTACACGAAACTCTGACAAACGATTCTAATCCTGGCGTATCTCGAAATCGGCGGTATTTTTCGAGTTAAAGAGAAGAGCGATGGCCTTGTCGATGTGTTTTAGTTAAAAATAACACAAAGTACGCGTTATACGAAACGCATTTGCTAACTGCAAGGAACAGAAAGAACTTGCAATGCTTTAATCGTTTTGTATTTTAATTTTCGTAAGGTAAACTCTTTGGAAACGGAAACGGCAAAATCTAGAGGAGAATAATTGATCTAAATATGCAATTATTCACTGACTTTTCCTGTTTTTTTTACAGTAAGATACAAGATAAAGTACAAAATACAATGTAGAATATTTATATAATAAAGATATTGTAAACGTGTTGCGGAACAATATCTCCGCAAAGACCACCTACGACTTAATAGGGGCATCCGGCTATTATGACCGGCGTTCAATGATGACATCATAAACTAATAACGACACAATACGATATCAAATCCAACAACCTTCTTACTTTTCTTACCACGACATTGTGACACGATAGAAATAATTTTCTACATATGTTTTTTCTTGATAGTAAAAAATATATCCAACCAAATTGAAGAGACCAAAATACATTAAAGAGATAGCAAGAATAACGATTCCTTCACAAAAAAACGTATACCGTATATTTGAAACTAACGACAATAATCTGTTAAAACTTTACAATAATAACAAAGAATAATGACAATATGAATGAGTGTGCTAATCTAAACATAACAAAGAACATTTTTTCAGCTGTTAAGGCTTCCTATACACGTACTATTTAAAGTCGTCGCTAAAAATAACGCAGGGCGTAAGCAAACTTACTGCAATTCGTGCATGGTGGCCTATTTTACTAAATAAATCCAAACTCATACGTAAATACGAAAGCCTTTAACATATTTCAATATGTGTATGATGGGTTTATTTTAAAAGGATTTAGAAATTATTTTTATGGTTCCATACTAATAGAAAAATATGCAATGAGGTACATTTTTATACCTCCAAATTCCTTAAATGCAAAATAAAATGTTGACTATAAAATAAGCATATAATATATACAGTGAAAAAAGGCCACCTGTGTATTTGAAATACCTAATATTACATATAAATTTAATTAAAACAATCTAGAATGCTCTCCGAACAATAATAATCATGTTCTACAATGAGAGGTAGACAGACCCACGGACTTTACTTGATACTAACAAACTTAGTTGAATTCTTTTCAATGTTTATTATTATTATAATAAAGTGGCAAACTAGTGGCGAGACACCGAGGTGGTCAATGACGCCCATAAACATCCGAAACACCAGAGGAACTACAGATGCACTGCCATCCTTTGAGGAAATGATAGGCTTGATTCTCGAAGGACCATAAGTTAATATGAGCTTTTTTTTTTATTAAATAAATTTTTAATCTTAAATCCTATCTCACTATTACCGTTATCATGTAAACACCTGTTTATCTATGTACACATATGGTAAGAAAAAACATCATAAAGAAAGATAATCTACCTAAAGGTTGCCAATCTGCCACTATTTTGAGTTTATCTTATCTGGACAAACATTTTATCATTTTATTATTCAAGTGGTAAGACAATGAAATTTACAGACAAACACAGGAATAATAAAAAAAAATATTACAAATTATAATTTTTTTTCAGATGTTAAAATCAGGAAAATTTGTTAAAAAACATCATCAGTTGCTGCATTAATAAATGCATTATCCTCAATATGAATATTGGAGAAAATGAATTTTTCAAATTGACTAAAATTCATTTTTGCAAAACAGTGTACTAAAAAGTGATGTGTGATCCAAATTGTATTTTTTTTTCATAGATTATAATAATTTGATAAACTATGGGTGTCACATGGTCCTTATTTATAGATATGGATTGAAATAATCGGTATATTTTTAAGATTAAAGTAATTATTAAAAGATAAGAAAGATTTAATTCTACACAACATTTTATTTAAACCTGTGCACATTAGTAACATAATTGTGTTAATTAACATAAAGTATTATTTTAAAACCAGTTCCTTATCTTTCGGTTCCTAAATCCAATTTAAATTACTTTTTTAAGACATTCTGGAAAATCAAGTTAAACTCATAAACAATTATAATTGCAAATTAAAATTTGCTTTGTATGCAAAACAAGGATTAATAAAATTATTTGGACAATTTTTGTACATACAAGAACTGTATTAACAGATTAATTGTGAAAAAGTTCAATTCCATGTGGTAAAAATACTTGAGAATGTTTATACATACCCACACACTTAATTAATAAATGTTTAGGAAATAATCTTAACTTAAGTATATAAAGAAGGAATAATATTTACCAAGTCTTTTTTATGGTCAATATGCCTTTAGGAGCTTTTTTCTTTCCTGCATCATTAATAATTGAAAAGCGGTCACTGAAACTTCTCTTTAACTCGGTGACAGTCTTTAATCGGTCGCGAGATGATAACCTCAACGACTTGCCACCAGGCCTTAACAATTCCACTTCTTCGTTCAAACTTTCTGCACTAGTACCAGAATTTATCGACACTCTTTTGGAGTTCTTCTTAGATTTTAAAGCTATATTCACTTCTGAAACGTCACTTTCACTCAATTCGCGGCTCTTATTATATCCTCGTTCCACACCATTACCAAAACCTTCTACGAAACATAGCATAATGTCTCCTGGATATGTTTGCTTCATTTAGAAGGTCATGCCCGCGTTTTATTGACTCGATAGCCACGCGCAAGCACACTTCAGAATATAACTTCAAGCAATGTAGGAAAGTAACTCTAACATAAAATGTTCATTGTCGCCCTTGACAACATTTTGAATCATTATAAATTTAAGTTTCACTTTACTTTTCAGTAGTAGTAAAGACAACTAAATATTTAGCACTTCCAAAAATTTTCTGATAGTGTAAACTTGAAGTCAGGTAATAAATACAAGAAAACAAATCACTAAACACTTTAAAATTTCGAAATATAAAAGTTTATAGGCTAAGAAAATTCCAATATCACTAATAAATAAATATCGACTATGACTAATGACAGTTCAACAACGTTTATTAATCGCTATGTATTCCGTTCGAAAACACTTGTTCGACTTTCAACAGCCGTTTCAGAACTGCGTCAACTGAGTGCGAATGACAGACTGGCTGGCCACCTCACCTCGCTTGCCGCTAAAACCAAGCAAGACAAGCGCGGTAAAATGACCTTAATAATTATTAATAATGAGGAAAATAATATTAACAAGGCTTATCTATATTATACATTTTAACGATTTTTCATGAAAAAAAATTTATCATTATCGAAATTAACGTTAGAAAGCTTTATTTTAGCGCGATACCGACCACAAGTCAGGCTTATTATTTTTGGTTATAAATGAATTGCAAAGATTTCAGTTTATATAGGAATTTTTGTACTTTTCTGCTTTCAACATTACTACTAGCTTTGATCCACGTGTCTTCTCGATAAATTATATATGGGAATTAAATGCATGTCGGGAAATCAATATGACTAATGAAATGTAACCTACGGGATCACCTGGGTTACCTGTGGGACAAACAAGGGTGGAAAACATTTAAAGTCATGGTATAACTATTTACTATAGTATACAGAACTGTGTACTTTCAATGAACATCAATGTTTATTAGTATACGAAACACTTCCCGGAATTACGCTACAAATATCAAGATGCCAAAACACCATTCTCTCAAAGATCCGGGAAATTTTCGTACACATGACACATCTGTAATTTTTCCTGTATAAAAGTATTTATATGTTACTAAGTAAGTGATTATTACTACCGACACATGTTATTTTATTTTTTCGAAGACAGTGGAAATTTACGAAGAGAATATAAATAATTTTATATAATGCTATGCTGCCGTGGCATTGAATAAATTATAGAATGAATTTTATGTTGTCTCATTTGAATATGAGATTCGCGATTTTTTTGCTGTATGGATGAAGTTTTAAACTTTTTGTTTAGTTATCTAAAGCAAAAAAATACTATTTAAAAAATGTAGTACATGTTGAGTGAATGACTGAATGATTCATTTTTTAAAAACGGCCGTGTATATCTGTGTTTCGTTTTGTTTCGATTAAACGAAATATTTTTTTTTTATTTAAACCACTGATAAGCATACAATTTCTGTACGTATTTTTGTTCCGAACCTGGTTATCTTCAACACAGCGTGTTGATCATGACATTATCTGTCGAATGTTACGTGAATTATTTATTTGCATTTTGCGATGCTACCTATACAGATTTATTTGTTTGTAAATTTGATATATTAATTTTCTAATTACAAGATGTAAAACGAATGAGCAGACGTACAAAATTGGATCGATCGAAGTCTAAAATTAAGTCAAAACGATATCAAGTCTTTCGATTGTTATAATCTTTGGATTACAAATGCATTAGATAAGCAAATCAAAATCGATTATTGAGATGGGTCGATTTAAAATGATGTATTATTTTCCGCAGACTACTATTTAATGGCGCAACCCCTTTGTGGATTTATAAATGCTTTATCAGCTATTAAATAGATCTATTTTAAAGAACAATCTGCGCTCAGTTCACTTTTAAAATTAGATTTGAACAAAACAACTAAAGCTGTTCACGCATCGAAGATTTTAATTAACATTGAATCACGAACATTATCAGAGACAATGATTTAATGAAAAGACCTATGTTTTTCTAACGTGGAATAAGAGAAATTGAGTCAATTGTAAACATTAATATTGTGAAGTAATTCTTACCACAAGGTTCTCACTGCCATTTTTTGTAAAAACTGATATGTTTTTGTTCCTAATATGACATTTTTTTTATTTTGTGTGCATGTATTTTTTTTTTCAGCAAATAAAAACTACAATAAGATTTTTAGTCTACACAGTATTGTATTCAATTTTTACTTCAGCCTTGAACTAAGATTACTCGGACTATGTCTAAAATTAAAGTCCTCAAGTAATTTATTACAGTAGAACTTCCCTTCTTAAAACAATTTATTCCTACTTCAGGTTAACTGTTAATTGAAATAAAGAAGATAAGAAAAATTTTAACGTTAAATGAAAAGATAGTATGTTTTGTTTATTTTTCTTTTTTTTCTACATTTGTTAAGCTAGCGCTTGACCACGATCTCACCTAAAGAAAGTGATGATGCAGACGAAAGATGGTACGCACTACCTTAAGAAGTAACATATTAATTCATTTTATTATTTGGACTTCACTGAAATGAATTATTTTTTTTTATCTATACCTAAATGCCGCACGTTATTTATTTCAATTTTATCACTATAAAAGTGAAATTTAATTCCACCACCGTGCACAAAAGGTGTGCCAAATTCTAGTAACATTTAAAATTAAACATCAATAAATGTACAATATTTTGAGATAAAATGGATTCGTATCGAATACATGTTTCCTATGAAAATAAACGACCAAAGCTTGCTCTGTATACGAATAATTTGGGCTACGCACTAAAAGTCAAATCTAGATCAGGTTATTAGGTCACAGAGCGTGTTATTTTAGATTTTTATGAAATTCTATTCAATCCTAACGCCAATTTGTAGAACATTGAGTAATTTAAACACATGAAACGAATTCTTAGTCACTACAGATTCAACCATCTACGTGTCAGTTGTTGAAATAAAGAAACATGTTTCAGGGGTAACTTTAAGATTGAATCTTCTATGCTTGGAATTAGAATCGGATTTTTATTAGCAGCGTTCGCTAATTCTTTAAGTTGATATTGGACACTTCAGAGTTAGAGCGGGCGCACACCTTTGACTAATAAAGGACAACTACTGAGATTGTCACAACTAAAAATTGAATAGAGGGCGCACCTTCATAAAAGTTTACAGGAATCAAAGCACTACCAAACAGTTGTGCGATAGTTTAGTTAAAAGTGTGCGCGTATTTTTAGGATGGTTGAGCCATTTTCGATCCGTCCTAACCGTGGTGTTGTTGATTATTTAGTACATACAACTAGTTAACGTTAAATATCACGCCACCCCTGTATGTCTATATGTAGATAATAAAACTTACTTTATATTTTACCAATGTAAATAAAACATTTATTATCTCACGCTGCTAAATCGTGACCAACCAAATCGTTCGATAGTTGTTAATGCAGTTGATAAACTGTTGTTAACTTTCGCTGCCTTTTGTCATATGAAAACTCATTACACATGTCAATAAGGAAATCCGCAATCTTAGAATAGCAATTTTGCTATCCGCTTTACACTGAAGTTATAACATTGCATAGAAATATCATAATTTAGAACTTTCGACAACCATTCCTTAACTTAGACACGTTTAATTAACAAAATAATTTTTAGAGCACATGCGTCAAAAGAGCAAGTTGCCATAATAATAGCCGAATGAATGAAGAAGTTAACAAAATAATTATTACAAAACATTTTAAACGGACACTGAAATACAATCATAGCCGTCAGAATTCATCGTAAAGAAGGCAAGTGCCTTACCGACGTCTCCATAGGAATGATTCTGGAGAAATGCTGCGTCTGCCATTGATCCAAGCTCGTCTTATCGTCGCTAGGGGGAGGCTGTCTCGTCTTATTGACCATCGGACCTTCGCGCCACCCAACGCAGCGCTCTTTTTATCCATACTACGCGACCCAACACATAACTTTCCACGGTGAGAGTTGAAAAATATCGACAAGTTATTATAATTAAAAACAAGATGAAAACTCTTTAAGATAAGTGAAAACACGAGACTAACAAACTTCCCACCAATCTTATCACGAACATGTTATTATATTTACATTACAAAAGATACTGAAACGGTACAGTCACGTACAGTGATGTCTGTACATTTTATAGCGTGGCCCAAAATAACTTAAGTATCTGACTGTACAGCTATTGATATTGCGACCTTGAATCCAAATCATTTGCTATGTAAATATTTCTAATGGTTAGATAAGTCTCTGTGTTCTATGGCTGACATTATATGAAGGATTTATTATATCGAAATTAGATATACGTATTGCCTAGGTGCACTATAGAGATAACTGATGATAAAATAGTCGTTTGACACATTTGTAAGTAGAGACGATACAAAAATGACCATCATATCATATCATACTAATATTATAAAGGTGAAAGTTTAGATGGATGGATGTTTGTTAGAGTTTGTAGCCTAAACGGCTGAACTGATTTCGATAAAAGTTGGTATAGATGTAGAGTATAGCCTAGAAGACTTTTGTTTTGTTTTCTTTAATTCCACGCGAATTTCTAATAAAGGGAAGGAAAAGACATTTGAATAAATGTGCATAAGACAGATAAGATCATGTTTGCTAAATTTGAATATATCGAAATGCAGATTAACCAAGTGGGAAATACTAATAAACGGTAAAGATCGAATTGCACTACGCAATATGTACAATACACGATTTCCTCTGTCATTTGCGACCAGTTTTATTAACCCTGAATCACATAAAATGCGTCGCGAGTAATTTTCTGTTTCCCGTCATTTGTTTTTCTCGTTAACAACTGCAACTAATTTATTGTATGCAACACAGTGTATAAGGCGGTTTTTAAATCACCTACCAGAGTCGTATTGTTCTCATTCTTATATATGAGTTAAGTAATCTAAAGGCGTTGCCAGAATCTTCTTTAGTTTTATAATAATTTAGTACCGATTTCTTAGTATTATATTATGCTTGCTCATATAATATCAAGCAGTTAACCATATGATAAGTCTATTTGTAAACATAAGTAAACTTTTATTGGAGTTGCTGTTACATTACCGAGCTTTTCGAAGCTTAATGATTTCTAAATAGTACTTGAGTGGGCG